GGGGGGGGGGGGGGGGGGGGGGGGGGGGGATCGAAAGGCGTCGCGTGTGATTGCATTGCCCAGGGCCTTCGGAAATGGTGTTCTAGACTCAAAACCAGCTAGAGTTTGGGGTGAGGTGCTCTACTTCCTTTCTGCTTTCGCCTGGTTCCTGTAAGCGTCAAACTGCTTTCACCGTGTGTAAATTTGCGCAAAAAATCGCTGCTACTGCTACAAGCGGTATTACAGTCGGTACAAAAGAGCTGAAACGCTTCAGTAGCTGGTGCGCACGCACGACGACGGGCGTCAGAAGTTTAACGAAAAGCGCAAAAACAGAAACCGAAGGAGTTCAACTCTTGAGACAAAAAAAAGTGATCTCTCCAAGACAAAAATGTGGCACACGTATACGTACGTACGCTTACGTCCTTTCCTTCTCGTGCGTGGCATGCCTTCTGCGGGAGGGTTGGATTGACACACGGCTAGGAGGACGGGGCCACAAGTTCGTTTATTGAAACTCCGGTGCGGCAACAGCGTATCTTCCTTTGCCGTCAACTCCAGGTGATCCCACACGGGCTGGCAGGGGGAGGAATCGCACACACAAACAACAAACGTTCCAGACACATTTTCAATACAATACGCCCCCCCCCTGCTGGGCTGTTTCCTTAGACTAGCAAGTCGTCTGCCTCGGGTAAACATGCACTAGCGCGTTACACATTGAGAACCTGGGATCCAGGGCCACAAAGAAAAAATAGAAGGACCTTGACCATGACCAAAGGGTGCTGAGCGAAAGAATCCTTCAAGGACCGTTTTTAACACAGCCATTTCGCTTCCAAAGTTCCCAATTCCAACTCTGCAGATTTCCAAATTTTTTTCGGGACCAACTCGTTCCAATTCCGAATTTCCATTTTTTTCCTAGGCCGCAAATCGAGGTTCTATGGTCTATGTAGGGATCTGTAAATTTGGAAAATTGGAAGCGAAATAGCTGTTGGTAGTTTCTCCGTTGGTTCCCCCACCCACCACAGAGCACCAGAGAATCCAAATAACGAGTCTCGGTGCAGAATATACTTGCGAGAGGTTCTCACGTGGGGGCGCGTACCAGCGTTAGTGTGGATCTTGCACAAGGGATACTGCTCAAGAATCCGGTAGCGGTCCCGATACTGCTGTGGCATGTTGGGGCAAGAGCAAACTATGTCACGGTTTCAGGGAAGTGCCACGATTCGACGTAGTAGCAACAACGCCGCCTTGACTGGGCAAGAGCGGTTTTATTGCCACCATACACAATATCGAGGAGGGTAAGTTATGCAGTTTTACGCTACCGACAGTATATTTCGTTGGATCTACTCTCACATGCTCATGCGGTGTAGATAGGTACAGAAGGGCAGTGGTGTCAACTCTTTGTATTGCGTGCAGCAACATCCGCGTCAAAAAGCAGGCGTCTGCCCATCGCATGTGCAAATAACACATGACCGTCCACGAGACAACGAGGCCTTTCTGCGGTCGCAACCTACCTTCTCACTGCGTGCTGGCGGGCTGCACAGACAACGCAACAGCATGGATCAAGTGCAACCAACTAGGGTGTTGCGTGCACGTACCACGGACTGACGTGTGTCTGTTCGTGGCGATGATTGAAGTTGGACCGTCCGGAAGCTTGGCCCCGTTAGGCCTCGCGCACCATCACTCTCAACGCATTGCCCTCGGTTTCAGCCCGAACGTCTAGAGCTGATTGCGAGAGTGCCGAGAGTCAATAAGAAGACACGAACCCGACGAGCACCGAAATCAAACGCTTCAACACAAGTGCCTGCACTGACAAGCTCGAGTCTGTTAGCAGAGAAGAGGCAGAACCAGTTCTTCCCACAAGAACTTTTTTTTACCACGCGCCACGCGCCCACGCGCCCACGCGCCCGCACACCTGCTGCTGTGATTGTTGCGCACAAAACCACCACACGGCAACTGGCGCATGCGTACCCTCAGCGGGTATCAAGACCCTTGATGCTCACGGGAACAAGCCACGCGACCCAGTAGTCCTCTCGCACAACTCCGGCAGCGGTAAATTTGTGCATATTAATTCCGATAAATCGAAAAAAGGCCAAAAACATGTAAGTTTGGTACGGTTGCAGTCTACCTCTACCTGTGACTTGTGTTCTTGGGCAGGTTGAGCGTCTCCTTGATCCGTTTTTATTGGTGTACCGCAATTTTGCGTGTTATCGCACCCCCGAGTTATTTAGCGTTTTTCAATAGCGTATTTCTCCACAACCAGGGACGTATCGCCTCCGGCAAGGGTGGTTTTGGAAACATCTCGTCGAGGGCTTTCCGGAGAGGTGGCAGTTGGTGTTCGCACCCTCCTAGTTGAGGAGAAATACGCTACAGAAAAGCCCTAACACGGGGGTGCGATAACACGCACATTTACGGTATGCATGAAAAAGTCCCACAGGCCGTGGGAAGCACGATCACACACGAAGAGAGTGAAAAACGCAGCGGATTACAGCAGTGGGACCTAGAGCAAACCGCCAGCCAAAACCACTCACTCGCGCGCAAGGGAAAGTCACGGCGGGAGAAAACAACATACCCCGCACATATGATCCAAATTCCAGGCATATTATAAGTATGCAGGTTGCAAGCAAGCCGACACCACCGAACGTTATGACGACCAACGACGCGACCGCGATGGCATTGATTGGCCATGCCCTCTTCCGTCGCCCCCGGGAGGCACATCACCTGCCTCCCGCAGGAAACCTTGTACGTTATCGGATTGTGATGCCTACAATTATAAATAAAGGACATCTCACTATTCAGCGCCATATCGGGACGATCACTGCTGTAGCAACAACCTTTGATCCACAGCTACGCATACATATGCGTATGTACATGTACACAGGGCACAGTATTCAACACACCCTTAAGCGCCTTCCCTCGCCAGGGCCCATGAAACCGAGGATGAGCAGACCACCTGAAATACTTAGGCATACAAGCACGCAGGCTATATCCAACGCCGAACCCCCCTGGTCGTTTCCTCGTTACAAAATCTACAGCGTTCACAACAATGTTTTGGGGTAGATAGCTTACAGCAGTAGTCATGACCACAGAAAGCATCCGCGTCAGTTGGACCAGGGAACGGATAGTCGTAGGTACTGATAGGCTAATACCTAATATGCGGGCATTGCTTTCGACATAAATGACCTTCGCGTGCACTAGGAAAAGCATAATTTCGCCCGTGCATACTTTTTTTTTTGGCGAAAAATATATCGCGCATATGTGGGCATAGTGTGGATGAGCGTGGTTATGCTCGCTTCATTTCGGAGGTAGGGGTGGATCAGCAGTGAGTCAGGCGCCTCCCGTGGCCCCAGCAACTTGAACAAAAACTTAAAGAACGCCTTCGCTGTGAGCAACTTTATCCTTAAAACACCATCCATGGTGGAACTTAAGTAAAGACAGCGGACCTGCGGGGGGGTTTGGGGGTTTGGGGGGTTTGACTTTTTTTTTCCGCGTCAAGAGCCAAGAGAACAGTAGAACAGCTGAACAGCCGTGATGATCTCCACGGTCGAGGAACACGTGCGCAAAGACATGCTCCCCGTGCAGACGTACACCTGGGAGAGGATCGGGGACCATCCCAATGCGGAGCAACGCGAGAGTATCGCCCTCTTCCAGGCTGCGCGGCTCTTCGACTTCCGCTATGTGAAGCAGCATCAGTTGAATGTTGCTGACATCGACCTCCTCGATCGCTTCCCCTTCGTTTCGGAAGATTTCGCGAGGCTCAAAGATCAGATGGTTGACTGCAATATCGCTGCCTCTGAAGTTGACACCGGCTACAACTTGTGGGCATTCTGGCACGACAGTAGGCGCAAGAGAAACCTTTCTCAATGGTATCAAGTTGCGAAAGACATCGCTTTGCTCCAACCGTCCTCTGCCTTCATGGAACGTGTTTTCCATCCTGCGTGCTTGTATGGATGCAAGGCAGGAGAATAGTTCTAGCGACCGTGTGGCTGCATCCGCACTTCTCAAGTACAACAGAGGCCGGGGAAAATAGAAACAGGGGAATGGGGCAAATAGGGCGTACTGGGAGCTGGCGAGTGGTGTAGCCACGATTATGGCTGGTGTTCTCGTATAGTCCGTTCGTCTGTGTGTTGCTTCTTGAGTGGTACACTTGTTGTTTCGTGCGAAGGAATCAGAGGAGCACAGAGCACAGAACACCGAATCAGAATCAACAACGTTAGCTTAAGTGTTTAACTGTGTCGGCAAAGCCAGGGGCACGTGCGCACCTCGCGCATCGACGCTAAAAATGCTGTATATATCGACTCCGTCGGCAAAAACAACCGTGCATAAGTTCACGCAAAATACAGTCGACCCCGCTTTAAAGACACACCACGTTTTCCCCCCCAAAAAAGTGTCTTCAACGCGGGGAAGTGTCACTAAAATTCCGGGGCCACTAACGCACCATCCCCGGGGCCAATGAAGGCGAAACATATGTCAAAAGGTGCGCATTCGCAGCAGAAAGGCGACCACAAGAGGTGTTGTTTGAAACCTACGACACAAGGTGATTTGAAGGTCGCAACCACTGCTGCTATTATTGTGCTGCAATACATATTGCATACCATCGTTTGACTTTCCCCGTACTGTACCACCAAAACGCTGAAAGCGATGGTGTTCTACGACCTATGCATCGTACATGTACACGACGGTAGTGCGCTGGTGTTGATATGGGCTAAATTATTTGCTTCATAATATTTTTTAGGCGTTGTCCTCCCCGTGAATATCTTGCTCAAGATCTCGCTACCGCACCTGAGAAATATCGAAGGTTGAACAACGACACTAGGAACATGTAGGTTACGCAGAAACACAGAGACCAGAACCAGTGACGCCAGTGCAGATTTGAACTGGCACGTCGGTTCGCCGCATGGCTTCATGCCGGCAGCAGACGAACCGCTAGCAGATGGAATGAATCTTTCCGTACACCCACACGCAGTGTGCGGCTGCAGCAGACCGCTGTTGATGATCCAGGATCTACAGGTGCTGCAGCACATTTTCTGGGGGGGGGTCGAATGGTGGATGACCCTACCTCCCCTACTTTTTCACATCTGCGGGGCACCATAATTCTGAGATTTTTTGCATCCTTAAAGCGGGGAGTGTCTTCAAAAATGGTGTCTTTAAAGCGGGGACGACTGTAACTGTAAAACGAGCATAAATCCGCGCATCATTCGCTGCTGTAAGCACATGTTCGGCCGAAAAAATAAGCATGAAAAAAAAAGTCGCACTCAGTAGGGGGCCCTCTATAGTGCCGGTTGAATAGTGCCGGGGCCCGGTATAGTGCCGGTAAAATTTCTGGACACAGACAGCGCCCTCAATAGTGCCGGTCCGGCACT